CTTGGTAGCAGACTCACAATTCCGGTAGCAGACTTCAGAGGATTTCAACACTGGTCAATGTATTTTCCAAAGCACCTGAGGGCAGGACAAGAAATAATGGATGGAAACTAATCAAGGAGAGAAGCAACCTAGAAATAAGGAGAAATTTCCTGACAGTGAAAACAATCAGTGGAACAACTTGCCTCCAGAAGTTGTGAATGCTCCAACACTGGAAGTTTTTAAGAAGAGATTGGACAACCATTTGTCTGAAATGGTATAGGGGTTATGAGCAAAGGGTTGGATTAGAAGACCTCTAAGGTCCGTTCCAACTCTGTTGTTAATAACAGTAAAGATACTGTTGAAAAGTGAATGGGTGACAAGTGGCTAGAATGGAGGGAGGCGAAGATGAGCATCTTGAAGAACTGATGAAGTGCTTAGATGGCACCTTCAGAAAGAGGATTCAGTGAACAACAAAACTTTGTTACAGTGGAAACATGGAAAAGATTCTAGAATTGAAACCTAAGGGATCAAGGGATTGGTTGGGCACAGAAGTTAAAATTTCCTCCCCGAGTTTAAGAATGCTGTAGATCAAATACATCTTATTTTCAGGAAAGACTTTGATGCATTACCCAATGATGGGTCTAGGATAATACAGCATGGCCAACTTGCCACGACCAACTCAGTGTGGGACAACTGGCCACAGCCAACTGGCCACAGGACAACTCTCTGCAGGACAAGAGTTACACTGACATCAAAGAAATAGTGGAATAGAACCATTAAAGAAAGGACGCATAAAGGAGGGACAGAATGAAATGTGAATGGCAAAAATTGAAGTATTTTTTAAATTTATTTTAAATAATTAAATAGAATTGTTAAATTGTCTCACAGCGAGTTGGCCATGGTGAGTTGTCCTGCAGTGCGTTGGTTGTGGTGATTTGGCAGCAAAAACTTGGCTGTGGTGAGTTGACCAAGGCAAGTGGCTGTGGCAAGTTGGTCGAGGTGAGTTGGCCAAGACGAGTTGGCCATGGCAAGTTGGCCAAAATGAGTTGACCATGGTGAGTTGGCCATGGTGAGTTGACCATGGTGAGTTGGCCAAGGTGAGTTGGCCATGGCAAGTTGACTATGGCGAGTTGGCCAAGGCGAGTTGGCCAGGCGAGTTGACCATGGCAAGTTGGCCGAGGCAAGTTGACCATGGTGAGTTGGCCATGGTGAGTTGACCATGGCGAGTTGGCCGAGGTGAGTTGGCCAAGGTGAATTGACCATGGCAAGTTGGCCAAGGTGAGTTGGCCATGGTGAGTTGGCCATGGTGAGTTGACCATGGTGAGCTGGCCATGGCAAGTTAACCATGGTGAGTTGGCTGTGGCGAGTTGACCATGGTGAGTTGGCCAAGGTGAGTTGGGCCATGGCAAGTTGACTATGGCGAGTTGGCCAAGGCGAGTTGGCCATGGCAAGTTGGCTGAGGCAAGTTGACCATGGTGAGTTGGCCATGGTGAGTTGACCATGGTGAGTTGACCATGGCGAGTTGGCCGAGGTGAGTTGGCCAAGGTGAATTGACCATGGCGAGTTGGCCAAGGCGAGTTGGCCATGGTGAGTTGACCATGGTGAGTTGACCATGGCAAGTTGACCATGGCGAGTTGGACATGGCGAGTTAACCATGGTGAGTTGGCCATGGCAAGTTGACCATGGTGAGTTGGCCAAGGCAAATTGACCATGGTGAGTTGGCCGAGGCGAGTTGACCATGATGAGTTGGCCATGGCGAGTTGGCTGTGGCAAGTTGTCCCATTCTGCCCATTGATTAGCAGGAGAATGAAGAGGATCTGTGACTGATTTGAGATGAGTTTCTTGATGAAAACAAACCTAAAGAAAACATCCAGTGCTCAATCTCAGTCCTGTCAACTCCTTAATATTCTTATTCATGAGTTGGATGAGGAGATGGAAGGAAGGCCTGTCCCATTTGCTGAAGACACAAAATTTCCAAGTGAACCTGAGCATGGAATGAAGGCAAAAAGAATGAAATTGACCAAAATAAATGTGAATTTAACTCACTTGGAAACAAATCAAATGCTCAGAAGCGAAGAGCTGGTTCTATGAAAGGAGATGAAGGAACTGGGACTGTATAGCTTTGAGAAGCAAAGGACTTTAGAGGACTTTGAGGAAATGTTCACACACAATACCAAGACAGTAGACACAGTTCTCTAGACAAGCATGGTTTCCACTTTCTAATGTCATTTAAAGCTAGACATCCATCTATCTGGGATGTTTTAGTTTGGATTCCTGCTCAGAATGGGATGGACTTCAGGGTCCAAGAACACTTCTCTCTCAAGTATTACTTTTTGAGCTAAGGTAGAACTCGAGAAGTTATGTTTTCATGGGTGGTCCTTGGTGCTCTCTGAGCTTGGTTGTTTTGGTTACAGATGTTTCATTGCTCAAATTAGTTATCATCATCATTGATAGTTATGTTCTCAATCCATGCCCAATGATTTTTTTAATGAAATTGCTGTGGGAAAAATAGTCATATAACATTGAAAGCTTCCTTTCAGGGAATATGTCAGGAATGACAGAATAACAGAGTTGGAAAGGAGCTTGGAGATCTTCTAGACCAACTCCCTGCTCAAGGATGAGCCCCTATACCCGTGATGGCGAACCTATGGCACGCTTGCCACAGGTGGCACACAGAACCATATCTGTGGGCCCGTGAGCGTTGCCCTAGGTCAGCTCCAGCGTGCATGCACGCCCCAGCCAGCTGATTTTTGGGCCTTCCGGGCTCACCAGAAGTCAGGAAATTGGCTGTTTTCGGCCTCCAGAGGGCCTCCAGGGGGGGGGGAAGGCTGTTTTCACCCTCCCCAGGCTCCAAAAAAGCCTCTGGAGCCTGGGGAGGGCGAAAAACAGGCCTACCAGGCCACAGGTAACCTTTTTGCTGTCATGTGCCAATAACAGGGGAAGCACGAAGGAGGGGGGTAGGGGGTAGCACATGCACAGGTGGGTAGGGCATGGGGGGACATTGAATTATGGGTGTGGGCACACACACACGACCCCCACTGCACTCCCCCCGCTTTTGGCACACAACGGCAAAAAGGTTAGCCATCATTGCCCTATACCATTCCAGACAAGTGGCTGTCTGGTCACTTCTTAAAAGCCTCCAGCGATGGAGCACCCACAACTTCTGAGGGCTTAATTTTAATAGATTTAAAGATAGATAGAAATTAATGAATAGAAATATTAATATTAATAGAAAGATTAATTTTAATAGAGTCGATTAAATCCTTCATCCAGTTCCCATATCTCTTGAATGAGGGGGTTGGAATGTGCAAAAGACTACCATGTATTCAAGCAATCTACCTATCTGTATATTAAAGAGTATAGCAAGCTGGAGGAATTAATTGGTGTTGGCTCACTCAATTTTCATCCTCTAGGAAGGATATCAGTCCGCATAAATAGGGCTGATCCGCTATGTGGAAAATATCGCTTTTATTGATTGTGAAAATATTAAAATGCATTTGCTTAATTACTCGTTTTCCTGACTCCGTAACATTTATTTGAGTCCCGTATACTCATTTGTCTAGGTAACAGAGGTGGTATTCAGCTGGTTTGAACCAGTTTGCCCGAACTGGTAGCGGAAATTGAGGGTGGGCCTGCCTATCCGCCCCGGCTCTATGCCATCCTATTTGGATATGTTTTTGAGACTGGGCGCATGCCCAGAATGCATGCGCACCAGCAAAGCACATGCACGGAAGGCCGGGCGCATGAATGGACAGGGCGCCTGCACTCACACTTGTGAACCGGTAGGGAAAGTAAGTGAATACTACCCCTGCTAGGTAGGTGAGAAGGAATTCATACCAATTAGATGCAACCCTTTGCACTTTGCTCCTAACGCAGAGATTTCTCTGATACACCTAAACTAGATAAAGTGTTGTGGCCCGTACGCGGCCTGTGCAGCTAGTAGCTGATTCAGACAGCGAGGAGGCTGGTGTGGTGCTGCGCCAGCAGCCTGTGCAGCTGGCACTCAAGTCGGACAGTGAGGAGGCTGGAGAAGATGTGGTGCCAGAGGCAGGGATTCAGCCAGGGCCTTCAGAACCTCCAGAAGCTCCCTTAAGTGAAGAGGACAAAGACGAAGAGCCTCTTCTCGATGCACGGGAGCGCAGAGCTGCCAAAAGGCAGGAGTGGCTCCTCAGGAGGAGGTCTTCTCAAGAGTAAGGCTTGGGAATAATTGGCTACTCCCGTAGCCTATTTAAGGAGGAACGCCGACTGAAGCAATTTGCAGGGAACAACTTAGTTCTCATACCTTCGTGTCTTGTCTTGCTTATCTTACCAGCTTCCTGCAAATTGCTTCTTGGCATTCTGCCAACCATAGTAAGCTTTCAGTTATTATTCTTTGAATTCTTGGCGGCTGTTAATGCAATTAATTAGCAGCCGCTGTTGTAAAAGACTGGTTTATTCAGTAAACTAAGGTTTGAACTGACTTTGTGTGTGCTGCATTTTTGGGGTCCGTAGCTGGGGCAGAACATAAAGGCATAGGAAACAAACAAACAAACTGAGAAATGTTGAGTTTATGATCCATTTAGAATCCTAGGTCTGGAAGAAACCTCCGAGATCTTCTAATCCAGCTCCCTACTCAAGCAGAGATCATCTATCATCCCAGACAAATTGTTGTCCAGTCTTGAAAACCTCCAGTGATGGAGCACCCACAGCTTCCGGAGATAAGGCTTTCCAACTGGTTAATTGTCCTCAATGTCGGGAAATTTCTCCTTACTTCTAGGTTGGCCCTCTGTTTAACAAGCTTCCACCCATTCCTTCTTGTCTTGCCCTCCGGTGCGAGCTAATCCAGCATTTCCCCCTTCTTTTTTAACTGGCTTTCACATCTTACTTGCCATACCCAAGCAGAACTTTTTTTTTTTATTTCAAAGGTTGATCTGTCCTGCAAAAGTATTTAATACGACTTCCTTTCATTGTTTCTCGCGCACCATTAAAGCATTTGATTTTCCTGATCACAGCATTGTGTTAAGCACTGGGCGGAAGTAACAGCCTGCCTTTATCTTCCCTTCGAATGAACAAGAGTTCCTGCCTGGCGTGTACAATTGGGAATAAATAGTCGGCAAGGCCAGTCCAATGTAGCCTCCTGCAACCGAGAGGGCTGCGACCACAGAGAGGCTCACGAATGATGGACATCGGATCCTGGCACAGAGCAAAGGTATCCAAGATGGTCTTTAAAGAGACCACATGGCCAACGCTCCATGAATTGAGTGTTGGCCAGTAGACCAACTCTCACTCCAGGGTCTGTGGATAAATGGGAGGAGGGGAGATCTTTAAGATGAATACTTGCTTAACATTATTGTTCTGATTTTATTTGAGGCGAACAATTTTTCCTAGAATAAGGACTGGGCAACAGCTATGTACTTTTAATGGAACAGCATTCTCGATGAACAATGTGTTGGGCGCAGTGATCATTCCTGAATTTTGGATAGGAGCAGAATCAGTAGAATTTTGGATAGAAGCAGAATCACTAGAATTTTGGATAAGAGCAGAATCAGTAGAATTTTGGATAGGAGCAGAATCAGTAGAATTTTGGATAGGAGCAGAATCACTAGAATTTTGGATAAGAGCAGAATCAGTAGAATTTTGGATAGGATCAGAATTACTAGAATTTTGGATAGGAGCAGAATTACTAGAATTTTGGATAGGAGCAGAATCAGTAGAATTTTGGATAGGATCAGAATAATTAGAATTTTGGATAGGAGCAGAATCAGTAGAATGTTGGATCAAAGCAGAATCACTAGAATTTTGAATAGGATCAGAATAATTAGAATTTTGGATAGGAGCAGAATCAGTAGAATGTTGGATCAAAGCAGAATCACTAGAATTTGAATAGGATCAGAATAACTAGAATTTTGAATAGGATCAGAATAACTAGAATTTTGGATAGGAGTAGAATACCTAGAATTTTGGATAGGAGCAGAATCACTAGAATTTTGGATAGGATCAGAATAACTAGAATTTTGGATAGGAGTAGAATACCTAGAATTTTGGATAGGAGCAGAATCATTAGAATTTTGAATAGGATCAGAATAACTAGAATTTTGGATAGGAGTAGAATACCTAGAATTTTGGATAGGAGCAGAATCACTAGAATTTTGAATAGGATCAGAATAACTAGAATTTTGGATAGGAGTAGAATACCTAGAATTTTGGATAGGAGTCACTAAATTTTGAATAGGATCAGAATAACTAGAATTTTGGATAGGAGCAGAATCACTAGAATTTTGGATAGGATCAGAATAATTAGAATTTTGAATAGGAGCAGAATCAGTAGAACGTTGGATCAAAGCAGAATCACTACAATTTTGGATACACCAGAATTTTGGATAGGACTAGAATCACTAGAATTTTGGAAAGGAGCAGAATCACTAGAATTTTGGATAAGAGCAAAATCACTAGAATTTTGGATACACCAGAATTTTGGAAAGGACTAGAATCACTAGAATTTTGGAAAGGACCAGAACCACTAGAGCCTAGCAGATTGTTAGCTTTTCATTGGGTGTTGGATTCCAACTTGGCAATCAAGTTCAACTAAATATAGTCTCCTTCTAGATCATCCAATGGGATCCTTTTACGGTTGCATTGAGCTCAAAGTAGTTTAGAACTTGTTCTGATGTTTGATTTCTTTTTTTCTTTTTAAAAAATGCTCCCCTGGGGGCTTGCCTTAATTTCTAGGACTTTTTTGACTGCTGTAGTCAGAAACTGTTGGAGTGACTAGCAATATTTCTATGCAGGTTTCAAATTGTTTCATTGGGGGAGCTGAGTTGACTAGGTGTAAATGCACATGAATGAAAAAGGAAAAAAGAAAAAAAAAACAATGGATAGGATTTTGCTGGGCTAACATTCTTGTCTACCCTTCCTTGGAGCAAATCCAGTGTAATCCAACGACCACAGGATTGTGCTGCACAGTTGGGATTTTTCTCCTAATTACTCTTTTTTTTAAAAAAATTATTTCATAGATGATTGGATCCAGATGTTTACTCCTGCTGCTCTTAGCCCTGCCTGTATCAACTCTGGGTAAGAAGTCCATCATTTGCCCGCTCGGTTACGCTATCATTGTGGCATTCTTGTTCAAACAACCAGCGCGATTAGTGTATGCATTCTGCTCAGCGCGTAGTCAAAATATTGTTGCCTGTTAGTGACTGTCAAGTCATTAGCATGTATTAGCACTTTGCACACCCCCAGAGGTCTAAACTTATATCGGGTTTTGTCCCCTGCAATGACCTGGTACAAAAGGTTGCAAGTCATTTGAATCCAAGCCTTTCTTACTGATTTTGCTAACCAAACTTGGGATTCTTGGGGCAATCCTAGCAAACCAGATAGCGGTTTAGAGTATATCAACGAAACTTGTGATTTCCTAACTTGATCCATTCTCAAGCCACAGAAGGAAAGGACCAGTGGTGGGATTCGCACCAGGTCGCACCACTTCGGGAGAACCGGTTGTTAACTTTCTGAGCAGTTTGGTGAACTGATTGTTGGAAGAAATCCTTAAGGCAGAGAACCGGTTGTTAAATGATTTGAATCCCACCACTGGAAAGGACCAAGGCTGCTTTTCCTTCTTTGTCCCATCCCAAATCTCTGGGCTTTGCCAAAATAAAACTTTGGGGTGGGTGGGTGTAGAGAGGAACCCCAAGAGCTACTTTGCTCCTTGGCTTTTCTCCTTTTTCTCTGCAGCTCATGATGGTTGTCACGTTCAGTGAAAACCCTGCCCGTCTCTTATTTTGACTTCGTTTCACGGAGGGGTTGAGAGTAGGGCAGGCCTATTAGAACTGCAGAAAAAAACAATGGCTACCAACCTGCCTTCCATTGAGGGCCTGCATACTGCACAAGTCAAAAAGAGGGCTGTGAAAATATCTACAGATCCCTCACATCCTGGACATAAATTGTTTCAACTCCTACCCTCAAAACGACGCTATAGAGCACTGCACATCAGAACAACTAGACACAAGGACAGTTTTTTCCCGAACGCCATCACTCTGCTAAACAAATAATTCCCTCAACACTGTCAAACTATTCACTAAGTCTGCACTACTATTAATCTTCTCATTGTTCCCACCACCCATCTCCTTCCACTTATGACTGTATGACTGTAATTTTGTCACTTGTATCCTTACGATTTATATTGATTGTTTCCTGATTGCTAATTTGTACTCTATGACTATCATTAAGTGGTGTACCTTATGATTCTTGATGTATGTATCTTTTCTTTTATGTACATTGAAAGCATATGCACCAAGACAAATTCCTTGCATGTCCAATCACGCTTGGCCAATAAAAAATTCTATTCTATTCTATTCTATTCTATTCTATTCTATTCTTTCTATCCTATCCTATCCTATCCTATCCTATCCTATCCTATTCCTATCCTATCCTATCCTATTCTATTCTATTCTATTCTATTCTATTCTATTCTATTCTAAAAAAAATAAATAAATGTGTGACTGGCTGTGTGGAGTTTTGATTTTCCAGTTTGAATGTCGAGTTGCCTGATACTTGTCACCTCATTTGAAAATGGTAGAACTTCATAGAATGTTCTATACCAGGGGTCTCCAACCTTGGCAAATTTAAGACTTGTGGACTTCAACTCCCAGAAGTCTGGGGAGTTGAAGTTCACAAATCTTAATGTTGCCAAGGTTAGAGACCCCTATTCTATACATATGGACATCCTACATTAACTAATCATGATCTTGCAGGGCAAAAAGAATTCTCTCCACCATTTGCACGTTGTAGCCTTTTTGGAGGCGATCACATCAAAACCTTTGATGAACTGCTGTATGATTTTGCCGGAGACTGCAGCTACCTGCTTGCTGGAGACTGTGAGAAGAGGTCTTTCCTCTTACTTGGTGAGTTTAAACTGCCTTTTGCATATGCTATTGAATGCTTCTGGAATGTTGTCTGAAGTTCTCCAAGTTTTTGGAAATTGGAAGAACGAGCAATTCAGCTAAATATAAGGGAGCTTGCTAGAAATGGAAGCTGTTCAACATAGAACATAGAATAATAGGGTTGGAAGAGGCCTTGGAGGTCTTCTAATCCAACCCCTTCTCAAGCAGTAATACTATTCCAGAATAATGGGCTGTCCAGTTTCTTCTTGAAAACCTCCAGTGATGGAGCATTCACATCTTCTAGAGGTCAGCTGTTCCACTGATTAGTTGTTCTCACCGATAGGAAATTGCTCCTTAGTTCTAGGTTGAATTTCTCCTTGATGATCTTTCAGTCGTTACTTCTTGCCTTGCTCTCAGTTGTTCTGGAGACTAGGGTGAGTCCTTCTTCTCTTTGATAGTCCCTCAAGTACTAGAAGACTGTTATCAGATCACCCTAGTCCTTCTCTTTGTTAGACTAGACATACCTCATTCCCTCATTCATAGTATGCTTTTACCTCCAGACCAGGGATGAAATGCTACTGGTTTGCACCAGTTCAGGCGAACTGGTAGCAGTGGCGGCAGGTGGTTCAGAGAATTGGTAGCGGAGGCAGTGCGAGGCTCTGCCCACCCACCTGGATGTCGTTACTTCCTGGGTTTAACCAGGAAGTAACCTGTTTTTGACCCTCTGCGCATGTGCAGAGGGTCTAAAATAGCATGTGATGTGCACGCACTTTCGAACCGCTAGGGAAGATAAGTAGATTTCACCCCTGCTCTAGACCCCTTATTGTCATTGTCGCTCTTCTCTGCATTCTTTCTAGGGTCCCACTAGTGTTAAGTTGATCCCACCCAACTCAAAACCTCCCAATAAATGACTTGCACCAATCCTGTTCTAGATAGCCAACCATCTCTCTCAGTCCCGGGTTCTGCTTCCAGTATCTTCTTACCTTCCTCCCATCCTAAATGGAAACATAAATCTGCTTCAACATCTTTTTTTTTAATCATACTGTCTTACAGGATCCTCCTTCACTAGAGATTTCAGACAGATTTGGGACATCTGTCTATCACGAATGGCATGCCACTAGATGATGATGATGATGATGATGATGATGATGATGATGATGATCATCATCATCATCATCATCATCATCATCATCATCATCAATGCACCAGGGGATGTGACTTTTGCAGGTTTTTCTATGATTCCTCGAAATTACAAGAAAAGTCATTTTGCACTTCTGTTAAAATTGGTTGAGAGTGTTTTTGTTTAATTTGAACTGTTTTGCAAGGTTGCTGGTTCGCATTTTTCATTTGTTCCGCCTATCCATGTAAAAAACGGATGATCTTTTTTAAAAAATTGATTTTCTATTAGTTACATTTCTTAGTGCTTAATAAGCATCATGTTGTCTGGGTATTTAATTTGCTTAGCAATATAGATTATATTCTTAATCCCCAACCCTTTTTTCCAACCACTGATAAAATAGATTCCATGTTTGATAATAATCGGCGTCTTCTTTCTGTTTAATTTTCAATGTAAGTCTATCCATTTCAGCACAGTCTAGTATCTTCTTAATCATCGCTTCGTCTCATGGTGTTTCTTCATTTTCCCACTATTGTGCGAATATAATCCTCGCTGCTGTTAAGACATGTAATATTAATTTTTGATTTTTTGATTTGGATGGCCTTGAAGATTTTGCATGGTTTTGGGGAAATTGGCACACCGAAGAGCTGGTATATGTTCTGCCCCAGCTATGGACCACAAAGAATGCAGCACACACAAAGTCCGTACAAACCTTAGTTTACTAATTAAGGACTACTAATGAGCTTTCTTAGTAGTTGTTCAAACACAAGTACAGTTTAAATTAGTCTTTTCTGAACAAGGGCTGTTAATTTAACTTCATTAACAGCCGACAAGAGTCCAAGAAATAATAACTCAATTCTGAGGTACAGTCTTTCAGATAACCATAAGCTTACTGTGGTTGGCAGAATGCCCAGAAGCAATTTGCAGGAAAAATGACAAGAGAGAAGCAAGAGCCGATCAGATATTTCTGGAATCAATATGTGAAAGAATATGAACAAAGTTGTTTTCTGCAAATTGCCTCAGTCGTCGTCCTTCCTTAAATAGGCTAGGGGAGTGGCCAATTAGCCCCAACCCTTACTCTCGAGGAGACCTACTCCTGAGGAGCCACTCCTGCCTTTTAACAGCTCTGCGCGCCCGTGCATTGAGAAGAGGCTCTTCCTCTTCTTCCTCTTCACTTATGGGAACTTCTGGAGGTTCTGAAGGCCCTGGCTGAATCCTTGCCTCTGGCACCACATCTTCTCCAGTCTCCTCATTGTCTGACTCGGGTGCCAGCTGCACAGGCTGCTGGCAAATCACCACACCAGCCTCCTCGCTGTCAGAATCAGCTACCAGCTGCACAGGCCGCTGGTGGGCCACAACAGTATAACACTAAATACAAGCAGTAAGAACAATTGCTTCTCATAATTTACCCATAATTGTTAAAAAGGAGAACAAGCCAATGATTGTTAGTAAAAATGTTACTAACCTTTTGTTCCGTTTCAGGTGACTATCACAATGGGAAAAGAACCAGTCTTTCTCTGTACCTTGGAGAATATTTTGATATTCATGTATTCTTAAATGGCACTGTGACTCAAGGTGAAAAAAGGTAAACATTTTGGTCACGTCGACATCAATACGGGAAGTCCTCGACTTACAACCATTCATTTAGTGACTGTTTGAAGTTACAATGGCACTGAAAAAAGTAACTTGATCATTTTTCACACTTGCGACTTTTGCAGCATCCCCATCAAAATTCAAAAATTTGATCAAAATTCAGATGCTTGGCAACTGATTCATACTTATGACGGTTGCTGTGTCCCAGGGTCATGTGATCACTTTTTGTGACCTTCTGACGAGCAGAGTCCATGGGGGAAGCCACATTCACTTAAAACAGGGGTCAGCAACCTATGGCTCCAGAGCCGCATGCGGCTCTTTTGTCCTTCTGCTGTGGCTCCCTGTCAGGTGATCCCACCATTGGCTGGCCCCGCCCCTCGCCCTCCCCTCCCAGTCACTCCTCGCCTGGCCTGAGAAGGTAAGGGCGACAGTGGGGGGATGGAGAAGCGACCAGGGCAGAGACAGAAAGATACAGAGAGAGGGGGAGAGAGAGAGACATAGAGAGATACAGAGAGAGAGGGAGAGAGGGAGGCATGGGGGAGAGAGAGATGTCAAAAGGATTTTGTGGTACCCTGTGTTTTTTAACAATTGGTTCTATGCCCTAATGACCGGCTGGATAGGCGTGGCTGGGGGGGGGGTGTCATGTGACTGGTGGAAGTGAGTGACATCGAGTTGGCCATGCCCACCCAGGTTTTGTGGCTCCCGATGTTTTCTTTTCTGTGGGAAACGGGTCCAAATGGCTCTTTGAGAATTTAAGGTTGCAGACCCCTGACTTAAAAACTGTTCCTAACCTCACAACTGCACTTAACAACTGTAGCAATATAAATTATGATAAAGATTAATGAGTTTATAGAAGCATATATTAACACCCCGCCACACACAGCAAAGGGTAGCAAAGAGATGGTCAAATCGATTCTTTTATGCAAAGAAGAGAATATACCTAACCTTGTTTCTATTCTGAAATTGCTTCTGAATTTTGTACTTGCAATGAAAAAAAAAATACAAAACTTGTTTTTGTTAACTAGGCAGGCTTATTGTTATAGGAATGGCTTGTACATACTGTTGTGCCTTTTTCTTTCTTTATCTCCCTTTGCACTATATTTCTTTTCTTTTCCCTCCCCCTTTTCTTAAGTTTTCTACTATTTTTATTATTATTATTTTTTATTATACCCTGTTTCCCCGAAAATAAGACATCCTCTGATAATAAGCCCAATCGGGCTTTTGAGTGCATGCCCTAAAATAAGCCTGCCCCCGAAAATAAGCCCTCCCCGAAAATATTTAAACGTAGAGCTGGAAATCAGGTAAGACGGCAAAAGGAGCCTCATCTTGCTCCATGCACCCCAAAATAATAAGACCTCCCTGAAAATAAGGCCAAGCGCTTATTTCGGGGTTCAAAAAAATATAAGACAGGGTCTGATTTTTGGGGAAACGCGGTACATTTTCTTTTATTATACATCACGTTTCCATTTTTGCAACGACAGTGTACTGTCTGTATCACGTCTCTTTTAAGTATACATAGTATTATACACCCTGATTATAACCATTGTTCTCATAATTATACATTGTAGTCTCTTTTAAATATACATAATTTTGTACGACTTCTTTATAACCATTATTCTCATAGTTATACCATAACACTCTATACACTTGTCACTGTATACACTCTAATCTATAGTCAAGTACAGCCCAATGGTATTATTACTTATAGTATATATGCTTATATCTATCTATCTATCTATCTATCTATCTATCTATCTATCTATCATCTATCTATCTATCTATCTATCTATCATCTATCTATCTATCTATCTATCTATCTATCTATCTATCTATCATCTCTATCTGTCTGTCTGTCTATCTATCTATCTATCTATCTATCTATCTATCTATCTATCTATCTATCTCTATTTTGTTAATCTTCTTTCATTATTGTTACTAATCTCTGCACCTGTTATCTAACTGTTTGTACAATAAGTCCCATGTTAAGTAATACTCTGTTTCCTTTTTATCCTTAATTTCTACTATTTTTTTTTAATTTTTACTTTGTATTTTATACTTTGAAAAACCAATAAAAATCATACACGAGGAACAACTGTGGCAAGACAGCTCGTAAAACGGGGCCAAATTTACTTAACAACTGTCTCGTTTAGCAACAGGAATTTGGGGGCTCAATCATGGTCCTAAATCAAGGACTATCTGTATTCCAGAATCAAAAGTAGTGTATTCTATTCTGCACCGGATACTAAAGGAATCTCTCTTTCCTCTTGTAAAAAAAAAAAGGATTTTGATACCATATGCCTCAAATGGAGTCTTTCTGGAAAAGGAAGCCGGGTATTATAAGCTGTCTGGTGAGGAATATGGCTTCGTGGTGAAGATTGACACCGGCGGGAATATCCTTCTAAGCCTTGCAGAGAAACACTATAATAGGACATGTGGACTCTGTGGGAATTTCAACCGATTTGCTGAAGATGACTTCATGACTCAGGAAGGTGAGTAGTTAGTATGTACTGAATAGTATCTTTTGGTATTGCCTTCTTTCCAGTAATGTTTACTTGAAAGCTTCTAATATTCCTCACTCGTTACGCGGTTCTTCATTGTGTCTGGAGCGTATCTCTTTGCAGGACATCTGTGTCACCCTTGTGGGGCAAGCTAGATAAGAATCACAATGAGCTCATTCTACTTGATTGCAAAGCTACATTCGCATAATCTTGCAAGTAAGGAAGTACACTCCTCCCCCCCTCAGGTCTTCTATACAGCCTGAGAAACTAGGGAAGATCTCTTTTGAGCCTGTTCCTCACCTGTTCTGCAGCTTTTATTTTACTTTATTTATTTGTCAAGAACATATTAGGTAATATATATAAGTATAAGCATGAATTGAATACATAAAATAGATACAAATAGAGGAAACATTAGGACAGGGGCGGTAGGCACGCTAGTGCTCTTATGCATGCCCCTTACAGATATCTTAGGAATCGGGTGAAGTCAACCGTAGACAGTCTTAGGTTACAATTTTGGGGGTTTGGGGAAGAAACCACAGAGTCAGGTAGTGTATTCCAGGCATTGGTCACTCTGTTGCTGAAGTCATATTTTCTGCAATCGAGTTTGGAGCGGTTCACTTTAAGTTTGTATCTATTGTGTGCTCATGTCTTGTTGTGGTTGAAGCTGAAGTAGTCATTGACAGGTAGGACATTGTAGCAGATAATTTTATGAGCTATTCTTAGGTCCTACCGAAGACGGCGTATGCTGTCTGTTGACTGAGGATTCCCTTGGCTGAGACTTTTTGCCCAGTCTCCCAAAGTCTTTCCCACATGCCATTAAATCAGTGCAACCAGTCACCTTTGGAAGTGGGAATAGTGAAGCTGAGAGAATGGCCATCAAGTGGTTCAACAACCTGAGGTAAAGTTTGTGTCAGAGAGATCCAGCTTATGAGGCTTTGGACACTGCTTTATATGTCCCTCAAGTTTTGGCAAACACCAATAGCAATAGCACTTGGGCTTATATATAGCTTCACAGTGCTTTATAGCCCTCTCCAGTGGTGGGATTCCAATAATTTAACAGCTGGTTCTCTGCCCTAATGACCGGCTGGGTGGGTGTGGCCATGGTGGGCATGGCCAGGGGGTGTAACAGGAAGCACTCGGCCTCCTGCACCCCCCTGGGAGCAAAAACGGGCCGCAGGGGGAGTGCCACACCCCCATGCCCCATTTTGGGCCTAGTATGCCTCTCTGCTGCCCCCTGGGAGCAAAAATGGGCTGTGGGGTTTTGGGCCTAGTAGGCCTCCCTACACTTACCTGGGAGCCAAAACAGGATGCGTGAGGGGAGGGGAGGGGGAGGGGCCAGCCAGCAATTTAACAACCAGTTTGTCCAAAGTGGTGTGAACCGGTTGAATCCCACCACTGGTTTCTCTAAGCGGTATTCAGGATAATCCCCTGGGGATCCAACTGCCTCCCCCGTCCCCGTCCTTCTTGGGGACTATCTTAAAGGGACAGGCTGCAGCAGCTCCGTTCTGAATGGAGGGAGAAAAGTTTGCATTCTCTCTGCTGCATTTAACATTGAATTCTGTGGAATATCAAGAGGCTGGAAGAAGTGAGCGGCGACTGGCTGGGCGTGGGTGGGGCCAACGAGGGGTTATTACTACTGGTTCAGCGAACCTATGCCAATAATCCCCAGCGATTCACCCAAACCGGTTCGAACCGGTTGTATTTCACCCCTGGCCTAATGCCACCCATTCTACACCTGTCCATTTGGTTTTCCTTGCCTAAGTGTAAGGCCACTTACTTTTCTTGCCACTTAATTGCATTTTGTTGGATAGAGCCAAGTATTCAAGTCTGTCAAGATCTTTCTGGATCTTGAATCTATCTTCTGAAGAAGATAGTTTAGTGCTGTCTGAAAATTTGAAGAGTTCCTCTTCTATCCCCTCATTTAAATCTTTTATGAAGATGTTGAAGAGAACCAGGCCTAAAACCGAGCCTTGGAGTATCCCTCTTAAACTTTAATGACAGCCATGAGCTCTCATGAATAAAAAGAGATGATAGGCTCAAGACCCAGATGGATCTTGACAGACGCGAACACTGGGCCTTACCGAACAAAATGAAATTCAGTGTAGAGAAAAGTAAAGTCTAACACTTAGGCAAGAAAAACCAAAAGTAGACATACAGACTAGGTGAAACCAGGCTTAATAGCAGGGATCTATTGAGAGGGATCTTGGAGTCTTAGTGGATATCAATTAAATATGAGCCAACAGTGTGTGGTGGCAGCCAAAAAAACCCAATGCAATCCTAAATTGCATTAATAGAGGGATACAATCAAGATCAAGGGATGTACTAATACCTTAGTAAGACCACACCTAGAGTACTGCATCCAGTTTTGGTCACCACACTATAAAAAAGATGTTGAGACTCTAGAACCGTGATGGTGAACCATATCGGTGGGCACGTGAGCTCAGCTCCAGGGCACACATTTTTGGGCCTTCTGGGCCACCGGGAAGTAGGAAAACAGGCTGTTTCCTGCCTCTGGAGGGCTTGGGGGGGTGGGGAAGGCCCGTTTTTTTGCTCTTCCCAGGCTCCAGAGCCTGTCTAGGAGTCTGGGGAGGGCAAAAACAGCCTCCCCCCCCCCCACAGAGGCCCTTTGATGGGACTGGAAGTCGGCAAATGGGAGCTGAGGAGAGCAAAAGAATGGGCCTACAGAGCCCACTGTGCCATCATGTGCCAAAAGTGGGGGGGGCACGGGGGGGGTCGCACATGCATGCACGGGGGTGGGGCACGGGGCGCATTAGAATTATGGGTGTGGGCACATGCGTGCGACCCCCCTGCACGACCCCCGTTTTTGGCATGCGATGGCAAAAAGGTTAGCCATCACTGCTCTAGAAAGAGTGCAGAGAAGAGCACTCAAGCAATCAAGATGATTAGGGGACTGGAGGCTAAAACATACAGTGAATGGTTGCAGGAACTGGGCATAGCCTAGTGAAGAGAAGGACCAGGGGAGACATGATAGCCGTGTTCCAATATTTGAGAGGCTGCCACAGAAAGGAAGGGGGTCAAGCTATTTTCCAAAGCACCTGAAGACCAGACAAGGAATAATGGATAGAAACTGAACAAGGAGAGATTCAACCTGGAAATAAGGAGAAATTTTCTGACAGTGAGAGCAATCAATCCATGGAACAGAGGTTGCCTCCAGAAGTTGTGGGAGCTTCATCACTGGAAGCTTTCAAGAAAAGACTGGCCTGCCATCTGTCAGAAATGGTGTAGGGCCGTGATGGCGAACCTATGGCACGCGTGCCACAGGTGGCACCCGTAGCCATATCAGTGGGCACCGCAGCTCAGCTCTGGTGTGCATGCCATCTGATTTTTGAGCCTTCTGAGCCCACCAGAAGTAGGGAAACAGGCTGTTTCCTGCCTCCAAAGGGCCTGGGGTGGGTGGGGGAGGCCTGTTTTTCTTTCTCACCTGGATCCAGATCATCTCTATGCATCTGGGGAGGGCGAAAACAGCCTTCCCCACCCCTTCAGAGATCCTCCGGAGGCCTGAAATGGCCCGCATAGAATTATGGGTGTGGGCACACACGCGTGTCAACCTCCCCCACCCCCACTTCCTGGCACGCGATGGCAAAAAGGTTAGCCATCACTGGTGTAGGGTCTTCTGCTTGGGCAGGGGGTTGGACTAGATGACCTAAAAGTCCCCTTCCAACTCTGTTAATCTGTTAAAGATATTGCTTGGAATTCTCAGCCTGGTTTCTGCTGATCACTGAGTGGCTATAAAAATGTCTCCTGATCAGCTCCTTCATTGTCTGTCTCTGAATAGATTCTCTTACAGGGAGTTCAATCTTTCAAGCCCATTTTCCTCAAAGTTAGCAGGATTTTTTTTTTTTCAATCTCTTTCTTTTTGGGAGAAACTACACAGGGCCCTCTGATCCAGATCGGGAGCTGCGTGCTCACAGCCTTGTTATTTTCAACTGGGGAAATTGCAATTAGTAATGCAAAGCCGAAAATGTTGTTTACTGCAAACAGCTGCTGGAAGGCGTATGGAAGGAAATGAGTGGCCTTCTAGGGAAAGTTTTGCAACCTTGGTGCAGCCGTGACAGGAGTTGGGTTTGAGCCCGCCACAAAAGTGTGCCTTTAAACATCTGGTAACCTCTACTTAGGGACGTGGTGGCTCAGTGGCTAAGATGCTGAGCTCGACGATTGAAAGGCAGTTCGGCAGTTCGAATCCCTAGTGCTGCGTAACGGGGTGAGCTCCTGTGACTTGTCCCAGCTTCTGCCAACCTTGCAGTTCGAAAGCACGTAAAAAATGCCAGTAGAAAAATAGGGACCACCTTTGGTGGGAAGGTAACAGCGTTCCGTGCTCCTTCGGCGTCGAGTCATGCCGGCCACATGACCACGGAGACGTCTTCGGACAGCGCTGGCTCTTCTGGCTTTGAAATGGAGATAAACACCATCCCCTAGAGTCGGGAACGACAAGCACCTATGTGCGAGGGGAACCTTTACCTTAACCTCTACTTTAGGTATGGCTGTACAAAGTTTAAGAATTTTAACGTATCTGATTAAGGCTGCAGGGCAGCTGCGCAGAAAAAAAACTTGCTGGAATGAAACAATTGCGCAATTTGAATTCTTTTGAAAAAGGGTCAATACGTTAACAGCCAAATGCGAAAGGTCTCTTCTTGTTGTTTTTGACTGATTTTATTCCAGCTCAGATGATTCATTTTACCTGAGAAACATTTCTTTTTTTATTTTATTTTTTATTTTAATTTTTTTAAAAAAACACCACATGGAATGTTGAGTCATTTTAACATTCATGTTTAAAGAGGGCTGTATCCCGTGATTAGGAAATTCTCTAAAAGGTTCCAAAGAAAAAAAGAAAAGCAAGAAAGGACACACAAATTACAACAGTTACAACACACAAGTTACAACAGTTCGTTTAATGACCGTTCAAAGTGACGACGACACTGAAAAAAGTGACTTATGACTCTTTTTTCACACTTACGACCATTGCAGCATCCCCCATGATCAAAATCTGGGTGCTTGGCAATTGAGCCTTGGTAGTACAGTGGTCTAAAGCACCCTGTTATTAAGACCAGCTGCCTGCAATTATTGTAAGTTCGAATCTCACCAGGCTCAAGGTTGACTCAGCCTTCCATCCTTTCTAAGGTAGGTGAAATGAGGACCCGGATTGTGGGGGCAATAAGCTGACTTTGTATAAATATACAAAAGGATGAAGGCTATTGCTTAACGCATTGTAAGCCGCCCTGAGTCTCCGGAGAAGGGCGGCATATAAATCAAATTTAAAAAAAAGAAAATTGGTTCATATATTTATGACGGCTGCAGAGTCTCTTGGTCCTCCTGGAATGCAACCCCTCCCTCCTGGAAAGTGAGAATCAGGACAAACTGGTTAAGGCCACTCCCCTCATCTACTTCCTGCCATTTGCTTCAATGGTGAAAGATGCAAAGACGGGAGGCAGGCAGTCTCCAGCAATGTTTGAAAGAGAACTATTTGAATATTCCCTCCCCCAGGAGTCCTGAACTTCAGAGACTCAGTTTAAAAAAAAAAAAAAACAAGGAGCCCTCATTGGATGTCTCTTGGGACCTTCCTCACAGAGGTGGTATTCAGCCGGTTCGGACCGATTTGCCCGAACCGGTAGCGGAAATCGCAAGTGGGCTCACCCACCCGCCCCGGCTCCAAGTCATGCTATTTAGGCACATTTTCGAGGCTGGCCACATGTGTGGAAAGCCGGGCGCAAGCACGGACAGTACACGCATGCATGGACAGTGCACGCATGCACGGACAGCACCCGCGCACACGGACAACACACATGCATGTGAAGCAAGCACCCGCATGTGCGACAAACCAGTGGTAAAGTTAAGTGAAACCCACCCCTGCTTCCTCAATGCCCTTAGAAGATCTGTCCCATCTGACTTCAATTTTGGAATCCTTGGTGCTCTCTCTGAGCTTGTTGCTTTCTTGCGTTTCATCACCCAACTAGGTTGATGAAACATCTGCACCAAAACAACAAGCTCAACAAACCCAACTAGGTTGATGAAACATCTGCAAGAAAACAACAAGCTCAGTGAGAGCACCAAGGAGTCCAAAATTGAAGTCGGGTTGAACTAAGTTGGGTGATGAAACATCGGCAAGAAAACGGACAATCTCAGGGAGCAATCCAGGATCTCACAACTCAACCCTGAGCCGCAAAGATTCTCTATTATCGGGGCTTCAATTTTATTCCTTATTCTTTTGGTTTAAAAAAAGAGGATATGAGCACGGTGGCCACCACAGCATCTGAATTAGCTTTGTTTCTGAAAATGCTTCTGGATTCAAATAATAAAGGATGTTGGCAGATCAGGGTTTTGTCTGGAAGGCTGCCAGCGTTGCCAGCAAAAATAGAAGGGCATTCTGGGTCTGGAGAGGGATGCAAATGTAACCCTCAACCTTTAGTTGGGAATTGCTGCTCATTGTGAGAATTATTGTGTGAATAGTCTTTGGGTGTGAATGCTCTAGAAAATCCGTATTTGCCCCCAGGTGCTAAAAGGTGGTGACTCTGTATGTTTTCCTCTTGAAGATCTGAATCATTTTTCTGGTTTTTCTTCTTGGAAGGAAGGTCAGTGAATGAGCATTGAATAATACGCTGGTATTATTTTTAGGAAGGAAATTTCCACTTTGCTTTCTCATGGGAAAAAAAAAATACCCTGCGTAAAACGTATTTGAAGCTTAATTGTTCTTCTTCTTCTTCTTCTTTTTTAAAAGATAATTCAGTAATTGCAGTATTTTTCCATGTCTGTGATCAGATAGCAATAGGTCTCCCCACACAGATGGGCAGGAACTAAATTCACAATCCTCTTCTTCTTCTTCTTCTTCTTCTTCTTCTTCTTCTTCTTCTTCTTCTTCTTCTTCTTCTTCTTCTTCTTCTTCTTTTAAGCCAGTTCTTCCGTTTTATGAAATCGTTTGTGTTTCTGAGGTTGTCACTACAGGTAGTCCTCAATTTACAACCCCAATTGAGCCCGACATTTCTGTCGCTAAGAGAAACATTTGTTAGGGGAATTTTGCCCCATTTTATGAACTTTCTTCCCACAAGTGTTCAGCGAATTGCTGCGGTTGTTAAGGTAGCTACACGGATGTTAAGTGAATCTGGCCTCCCCGTTGACTTGGCTTGTCAGAAGGTCGCAAAAGTGGATCGCGTGACCCAGAGACACTGCAACCGTCACAAATATGAGTTGGTTGCCAAGTGTTCTGATTTTGATCACATGACCATGGGGATGCCGCAACAGTTGTAAGTGTGAAAAATGGTCATAAGTTACCGTATTTTTCGGAGTATAAGATGCTCCGGATTATAAAACGCACCTACCTTTTTTGGTGAGGAAAACAAGAAAAAGAAATCTGCCTCTGCCTCCCAGCAATTTGCCTCCTTGCAGCAAACAGCAAACAGCCTGTTTCAGTTTCAGTTTCATTTTCAGCACAGCCTGATTAGCACAAGAAAAAGAAATCTGCCTCTGCCTCCCAGCAATTTACCTCCTTGCAGCAAACAGCCTGCTTTACTTTCATTTTCGTTTTCAGCATAGCTTGATTAGCCCAAGGGAAAAAAATCTGCCTCCCAGCAATTTACCTCCTTGCAGCAAGCAGCAGAGGCTCGCACAGCAATAGGCCATGGCAATCCCTGCAGCCTGAAACTGCTGAGAGTTGGGATCCAATGGACAATCAACTTGTGCTAATTAGGCTGTGCTGAAGCTGAAATGGGCTGTTTCTTCTTGCTGCTTGCTACAAGGAGGTAAATTGCTGGGCAGCAGAGGCCAAAGGGTGGGGGCCAGTGGGTGGATGGGGCTACATTCGGTGTATAAGACGTACCCAAATTTTCACCCCTTTTTTTGGGGGGGGAGGCATGTCTTATACTCCGAAAAATACAGTACTTTTTCAGGACCGTTGTAACTTTGAATGGTTGCTAAATGAACCTTTGTAAATCGAGGACTACCTGATTTGAAGTTTCTGTCTTGCCAATGCCTTTAGGGAGCGTCTGATGCTCTTATAGTGCCATCTCTCCTTCAGACAGGGTTTCCATGCTTGGGGTATAAGGTAGGATGAGATGGGCGGCAAATCAATTTCATAATGAATAATAAACAAACAAACCTTGGTCAATGGAAGATGTGTGGACTTCAACTCCCAGAGTTCCCCAGCCAGCTAGGAATTCTGGGAGTTGAAGTCCACACATCTTCCAGTGACCAAAGGTTGGGAAACATTGTTCTGGGAGACAGGGTGTGTTTGTGAGAGAGTCTTATTCCAAAGACTTTGTACCTTGCAGGCTGATGTAATGGGGGCTGTGCACTCACAAATAAATCAGTAAATTTTCCCTCTGGCCTGAGCTGCACAACTTTCCTTTATACAGTTAGAAACGAAGCCAGCTCATGAATTATTTTTCTGAGTATCTTATGCAATTAGAAGGGTTTTTTAGAAATGCAAGAGCCCGGAGTGATTTTTGAGGTTTGATCCATTTGAGAAAATAGCTTTTAAAGAGAACAATAAGCTTTGGGTGCTGGGTTACAGTGGTGAAATCCAAATTTTTTTACTACCGGTTCTGTGGGCATGGTTTGGTGTGGTTTGGTGGGCGTGGCAGGGGAAGGATACTGCAAAATCCCCATTCCCACCTGACTCCAGGGGGAAGGATCATGCAAAATCTCCATTCCAAATCCCACTCCTGGGGGAAGGATACTGCAAAATCTCCATTCCTACCCCACTCCAGGGGAAGGATACTGCAAAATCCCCACTCTTGGGGGAAAGATACTGCAAAATCCCCATTCCCTCCCCACTCCAGGGGAAGGATATTGCAAAATCTCCATTCCCTCCCCACTCCTGGGGGAAAGATACTACAAAATCCCCATTCCCTCCCCACTCCAGGGGAAGGATACTGCAAAATCCCCATTCCAAACCCCACTCCTGGGGGAAGGATATTGCAAAATCTCCATTCCCACCCCACTCCAGGGGGAAGGATATTGCAAAATCCCCATTCCCACCCCACTCTGGGACCAGCCAGAGGTGGCATTTGCCGGTTCTCCGAACTGCTCAAAATTTCCGCTACCAGTTCTCCAGAACCTGATGGATTTCACCCCTGGTTACAATGCAGAGCCCTCCGTAACCCATTAAAAGTGTGTATTAACAAGGGAATTCTAATCAGATTATCCCATAATGTTACCTTTTCTCTCCTGTCCATTTCAGGGATATTGGAAGAGAACAGCTACAGTTTTGCGAACTCCTGGGCGATGAGTAACCAGCAGAAGAAATGCCAGCGAGTAATGCCTCCGAGCTACACATGCAACATTTCCTCAGATGCTGCAGAAAAGGTTTGTGTGTAGCAGTGTGAGACTCAGGGTCCTCCCCCACTTTTTTTTTGTCGAGTACATATTAGATAATATATATAAATATAAGCATGAATTGAATACCTAAAATGAGTACAATTAAAGGGAACATTAGGACAGGGATGGTAGGCATGCTGGTGCAATTATGCACGCCCCTTACAGACCTCTTAGGAATGGGGTGAGGTCAATAGTAGACAGTTTTAGGTTAAAGTTTTGGGGTTTTGGGATGAGACTACAGAGTCTGTAGTGCATTCCAGGCATTAACAGCTCTATTACTGAAGTCATATTTTCTGCAGTTGAGTTTGGAGCTGTTCACTTTAAGTTTGTATCTATTATGTGCTCGTGTATTGTTGTGGTTGAAGCTGAAGTAGTCATTGAAAGATAGGACGTTATAGCAGATGATTTTATGAGCTACGCTTAGGTCATACCGAAGGCGGCATAGTTCTAAATTTTCTAAACCCAGAATTTCAAGTCTGGTGGCATAAGGTATTTTGTTGCGAGCAGAGGCGTGGAGGACTCTTCTTGTGAAATATTTCTGGACATGCTCAATTGTATTTTGTATATTGAAATTAGAACAGGGAGGGTGTTGTGGTCCGCGGCAGCCTGCAGAGCTGGCAGCGGAGTCGGACAGCAATGAGGCTGAGGAAGAACATGGGCCAGTCCTGGAGTCAGGGGAAGGCCCGGATGAGGGCTCTGCATCGGAGGCAGAGATGGGGCCAGGGCCATCAGGGAGTGATGTGTGGACTTTGGAGCCTCCAGAGACAGATAGCAGAGAGGCAGAGGAACAGGAGGAGCCTGTTCCTACTGCACATATGAGAAGAACTGCCAGAAGGCAAGAGCAGATAAAGCAGAGAGGACAACTCAGGAGTAGGGCCAGGAGATGATTGGCTCCTCCCATAAGGCTTAAAAGACCAGCCTTCCTTCTGGATTCTTTGCGGAAAACAACGCTGAGAGAATTGCTTCTTGTTTCACTGTATTCATTTCTCATCGGCGTCTTCTGCTTCTGAACTTTTGTCAAGAAAAGCCTTTGCCAGTTTGCTTAATTATACCAAGGTCGGCGATAAACTGTGGAATGGTGTTTTGAAGAATTTGCTTTAATTTAGTTTGGACGACGCTGAGAATGAGTTAATTCTCAGCTGTTCTAATAAAGTCTGTTTGTTTTCGAACTGTTTGCATTTAATACTAACTACTGGGTCACAATAGGGAGGGTAGGAGTGGGAAAACCTCCAGAAGATTTCAAAACAGGTAGTCCTTGGTTTACAACAGTTCGTTCAGTGACCATTCGAAGTTTCAACGGCACTGAAAAAAAAAGACTTTGGGTAAATAGTGCATTGATTCAGGGACATTCTGATTGGCTGTCCTTCTGGGTCTTCTGGGGTCAGATTGACAATTCTATATTTTGGGGAACGGGATATTTCCCCGCTTGTAAATGCAAGGCAAACGCCCTCCAGGGATCAATAACTAGGAGAGATTTGCAAGAAAGAGGAGCCGAAAGTGGTGTGATCATCACAAACTTTATTAAATGCAAATACTTGCAGGAATAAACCTGCAGTGCTCCTGGGAATAGACACTGGGGATGTATGCCATGTTCTGCCATGGCATGTTGGTGCCAGCGGGCAGGATTTAAAGCTTTAATACCCAACACACTGAGCATTGATTAATCGTGGGTGAAAAGCAAACAATTAAAAATGTATGAGTAACTAACTTATAAGCTTATACAAGGCCTTCCTTGTGAACTGCTCAGCGTCTCTGCACCTGGCCTTAATTCCATGGATGTTCTCAGGCTGTGATAAGCACTTCATAGATGATAGCGATAGATAGATAGATAGATAGATAGATAGATAGATAGATAGACTGACTGACAGTGAGATAAATAGTGAGAGTGAGATAGATAGATGATAGATACGATAGATAGATAGATAGATAGATAGATAGATAAGATAGATAGATAGATAGATAGATAGATAGATAGATAGATAGACAGATAGACAGACAGACGTGGGTTAATGGGTGGGTGGGTGGGTGGATGGATGGGTGGATGGATGGACAAAAAACAAATAGACAGACAGACAGACAGTTAGACAGATAGTGAGATACTGCATATAATTACAGGTTGTCCTCATTTTATGACCATAATTAAGCCCCATTTTCTGTTGCTAAAAAAGACAGTCATTAAGTGAGTTTTGGCCTATTTTATGACCTTTCTTGCCAGAATTGATAGGTGAATCACTGCAGTTGTTAAGTTAGCAACATGATTGTTACATGATTCGATTCGATTCGATTCGATTCGATTCGATTCGAATGGAATGGAATGGAATGGAATGGAATGGAATGGAATGGAATGGAATAGAAAATATGGAATTGGACTGGACTAGACTAGACTAGACTAGATGAATAGAATAGAATAGAACAGAACAGAATAGAATAGAATAAAAAATATGGAATTGGACTGGACTGGACTGGACTGGACTGGACTGGACTGGACTAGACTAGACTAGACGAATAGAATAGAATAGAATAGAATAGAATAGAACAGAACAGAACAGAACAGAACAGAACAGAACAGAACAGAATAGAAAATATGGAATTGGACTGGACTGGACTGGACTAGAACAAAACAGAACAGAACAGAATAGAATAGAATAAAACTTTATTGTCACTTTAAATGTACACTCATCAGCATACATTAAAATGAAATTTTGTTGCGTTCAGCTGTCAAACAATAACCATTAGGACAGCTAGAAGCATTTCCCCTTCTCCTTCTTAATAGAGGTCCATGTAGTTTCCTTGTATTCTATAGAATAGAATAGAATAGAATAGAATAGAATAGAATAGAATAGAATAGAATAGAATAGAATAGAAGTTGGAAGGGACCTTGGAGGTCTTCTAGTCTAACCTCCTGCTTAGGGAGTAAACCCTACATCGCTTCAGAGAAATGGTTATCCAACATCTTCTTAAAAACTTCCAATGTTGGAGCATCCACAACTTCTGGAGGCAAGTTGTTCCACTGATTAATTGTTCTGTCAGGAAATTTCTCCTTAGTTCTAAATTGCTTCTCTCCTTGATTAGTTTCCACCCATTGCTTCTTGTCCTGCCCTCAGGTGCTTTGGAGAATAGCTTGACCCCCTCTTCTTTGTGGCAGCCCCTGAGATATTGGAAGACTGCTATCATGTCTCCCTTAGTCCTTCTTTTCATTAAACTAGACATACCCAGTTCCTGCAACCGTTCTTCATATGTTTTAGCCTCCAATCTCCTAATCATCTTTGTTGCTCTTCTCTGCACTCTTTCTAGAATCTCCACGTCTTTTTTACGTCGTGGCGACCAAAACTGAATGCAGTATTCCAAGTGTCGCTTCCAATTTAATGAAAGCCTCACTTGGCCACAGAAATCTAGGCCTCAATTATGGTTCACGAGTCGAGGACTGTGAGAGACCCACCTTAAGAACAGCAGGAGGTGCTCAATCTAAAACTTGCCTTCCCCCACACCTAAAAAAGCAGCACAAATGATAAAGAATCCTCCTCCCCCCAAGAAAAACCCTAGCAAGAAAATGCTGAAGAAGAGAAGTTCTCTGAATTCTGCACATTCAGAAGACATTACGGCATTGTTCGACATATACAGTATTTGCTGATAAAAGCAGAACATTGTTCTATTAATAGGGCCCTGGCAATGCATTCTTCTGTTGAAGAATTTCGTTTTCCACAAAGAAAAAGACTTTTCTTTGTTTGCTAATTTCAGCCTTGGCAATGCAGGGTTGCTCCTACCACGGCTTGTTTCAGGCTGCCACAGTCAGCTGCTGTGATCAGGGCACAATAGCTCCTGGTTCAGGCCAAGGAATTTATCTTCTCATTTCTCATCCCCTGCAGGCCCCCACAATGCAAAGGAGGCGTATTTCAGAAGATCTTCCGTGCTCTTGCGCTGACTTAGAACATAAAATAACAGGATTGGAAGGGACCCTTGGAGGTCTTCTAGTCCAACCCCCTGCCCAGGCAGAAAACCCTGTACTATTTCAGGCAAATGGTTGTCCAATCTCTTAGTAAAGTGTTGGAGCATTTACAACTTCTGGAGGCAAGCTGTTCCACTGATCAATTGTTCTCACTGTCAGGAAATTTCTCCTTAGTTCTAAGTTGCTTCTCTCCTGGATTAGTTTCCACCCATTGCTTCTTGTTCTGCCCTCAGGTGCTTTGGAGAATAGCTTGACTCCCTCTTCTTTGTGCCAACCCCTCAAATATCGGAACACTGCTATTACGTCACCTGTAGTCCTTCTTTTCATTAAACTAGACATACCCAGTTCCTGCAACCGTTCTTCATATGTTTCATCCTCCAGTCCCCTAATGATCTTTGTTGCTCTTCTCTGCACTCTTTCTAGAGTCTCCACATCTTTTTTACATCGTGGCGACCAAAACCGGATGCCGTATTCCAAGTGTGGCCTTACCAAGGCATGATAAAGCGATATTAACACTTCACGTGATCTTGATTCTATCCTTCTGTTTATGCAGCCTAGAACTGTGTTGGCTTTTGTGGCAGCTGCAGCACATTGCTGGCTCATATTTAAATGGTTGTCCACTACGACTCCAAGATCCCCCTCACAGTTACTACTGTTGAGCTAGTTACCACCTATACTAGTGATGGCGAACCTATGGCACGCGTGCCACAGGTGACACGCAAAGCCCTCTCTGCGGGTTCGTGAGCTGGCCCCCAACTCAGCTCCAGCCTGCATGCGTGGGCGCCTCCCGCTGGCCAGCTGGTTTTCGGGTCTCTGCCACGCATGTGTGGGGCGTCATGAATGCTGTGTAAATGTTGTTTATCTCTGCGCGCCTGCTGATGGCTGATTTGTCTAAGGGCCAAGTTTCCACAAATTCCTTATCCTTTTTGGATTTAGCTTAGTCTGCTCATAGTTGACCAGTTTAAATGATGATTGAGCCCGTCCATGTGCTGTGAGATTAAGGAGTTTTCATCATGCCTCTGACTGCTAGTTGGTTGTCATG